AGGCATGGCATGGGGTGGGGCATGGGCCTCGCCCAGCCTGGGCCCTGGCGGAGGAGGAGGGCTGGGTCGGCTGCGGTGGGGACAGCCCTGCTGCTGACACAGACATTCCGTGTTTCCGCATCGGGAAGGCATTTCCCAAACCGCGTCCAGACCCTCAGCCCCGGGCAGGGTGTGCTCGACGGCAGCGCGGGAGGCCGAGGGGGTGTGGGCACCGCTGGGCTGCCCGTGGCGTTCCGTACTTGGCAGCTACGTCCCCTCACGGCCATGCCCGAGTCCAAACACCCGGCCTACTGGGCACGGAGGCCCAGAGCCGCCCGCACCTCCTCCCGAATGTAACCCTCCGCTGGGTGGGGAGACCACTGCACCCCAGAACCCTGTCCCGCGCAGAGCGGGCACACAGGCCGTTGTTGAGTGAAGGGCACGAATGTGTGAGTGAGTGAGTGAATGGGTAAGTGTAGAAGGACGGGCCAGGTGTGGGGGAGCACAGGGCGGCGGCAGCTGGGTCTGGGGGTGCTTTGCGGAGAAGGTGACCTCTGAGTTGGCTGTGGAAGCAGGGTCTCCCCAGGGCCAGCCACGCAGAGGCCGGAGGAGCCAAGATCCGGACCAGAACTTCCTAGAAACCCTCTGCCCGGGTCCAGCTCAGACTCTGAGTGCGGGCCCTTCAGCGGCTCAGCCTGAGGTGCCAGCACTGGGTTCTGGGGGACAATCCAGGGATGCAGCCGGGACACCAGGGGCAGCGGGAGCCGCAGAGACCGTTTCTTCACAGCTCACCCCCTCCTGCAGGTTCTCTGCCCCTCCACTCAGACCCCCTGGGCACCCCCCAGGGAGACCCCGGGTGCTAGAGGAAGACCCTGGGTGCCAGAGGGAGACCCTGGGTGCCAGAGGGAGACCCCAGGTGCCAGAGGGAGACCCTGGGTGCCACAGGGAGACCCCGGGTCACAGGGAGACCCTGGGTGCCACAGGGAGACCCCGGGTGCCACAGGGAGGCCCCAGGTGGGCAGCCCTGGGCAGAGGAGTGCTGCGGGGGGCACGGGGGGCGGGGAGGACCCACGAGGGCTCTCAGGCTCTCGAGGACTTACTTCCAGGACAGGAAGGACTTGTGCCCAGACTTGTCGGGCACTTGGCAGCCTGGCTGCGCTGTGGGAGCCGCCCCTGCACACGAATTGCTTTTCTATTGGCCAAGTTCCTCCTCCCTGGGCCCCGTGGGCACGGCGGCAGGGGCACACCCGGTCCGGTTCTCTTCGGTCACCTGTGTTCCGTGCCGGCAGGGGCACACCTGGTCCGGTTGTCTTCCGTCACCTGTGTTCCGTGGCGGCAGGCCATGGCCCCCAGCTGGTCTAATCTGGCCCCTGCCTGCTGTACAGATGAGGAACCTGAGGCTCCGCGGGGTCCTGGGACCTGTGTGTGCTCCCAGACTGCCTGCTCGTCCCCAGCCCTGCTCTGCTGGGCGCTGAGGACAGGGGCCCGAGCAGCGGAGCAGCCCGCCTGACCCTGGGACGGCCCTGGGAGCGAGGGACCCCTCTCAGGCCGGGAAGTGGGTTGCAGACCAGGTGGATACAAAAGGGGGTGCAAAGTGACGGCAGCGGGGCCTGTGTCGCAGCAGCTTCTGGGGCGGGGCAGGCCTGGCGGGGGCAGGGGGGGGG